AATCTTCTCTAAATGCCATGAAACACTTCAATGCATTTTGGTGTAAACTGAAGGTATTTAGTTAGCTAACATTCTCCAGTCTTTGTCTGGGGCAAACATCTACTTCCTGAAAAAAAAACTGAAACTAAACCACTAATACTATACACTATTTCTTTTCCTCTTTGATTTTCATTTTACAATGCAGTGTAATATATGTCTGTTTCAAAATTTCTGAGGAACCTGAAAATAACCTAATGTAATAAAGCTTTTGTTTTGCACAGAGATCCAATTCCATCCTGCCATCGGAATTCAAGGGGAACCACAGCGGATGTGTGAGAAATGAATGAAAATCAAGGCAAATGGGAAAGAAAAACAAATAACAAGAAGGAAAGCAAAAGCGAGAGAAACAAACCTAGAGGCACAATCTAACCTCCAATGCACAGTTCATATCCAGTTTTGATCTTCCATGCAGAAACACAGCAGGGAATTCTTCTCAAGTTATGCAGGGATGCACATGGCACAGGACATTAGAGCTCAGCCCACAAAACCAAATGAACAAGGGCAAAAATACCTCAACTGAAAGAAAACCAGCGAGATTAAGTTATCACCAAAAATCATCTTTAAAATCTGTGTTTCTAAATTGTATTTAGAATTGTACAAAGTATTGGGGAAAACAGCCTTACCCCTGAAGCAGGCTTCCAGACTACACAGGAATTTGTGTATATTCCCCCCTTTATTGCAAAAGCTGTTTTATTAAAAAAGACTATTTGGACTGTCACTAAAGGATGATGTGGAGGTTCAAGAAAGTTCAAAAGAGATCAGACAATTCATGGTCAATAAATCTATCGATGGCTAGTAAACATGATGATGCAATCAAGTGGAATTTCTGGCTCAGGAAATTCCCATAACTTCTGACTGCCAGAAGTTAGGAAACCCTACACTTTTGTCCCATTTCATCTAGTCTTTCTGCAGGCATCCTCTACTCATCAAAGACAGCTTGGTGAGCTATTGGGGTAAACAAAACCAGCAGGTCATCAAGGCCATTCTTGTTATATTATGCTGCCACCTGATCCAAGTCACGGCTCCAAATCTCATAGAAATGAGAGTGGAGTTGCTTTGATTTCCCAAAAATCACAGCAGAAGCAACTCCACATTCATAACAGTAAAAACAGATTATAAATTACAGGCTTCATTAGCTCATATCTGTAGCTTTTCCTTCACACTGAATATGATGGACAAAGGGTGAGGTGGGCACACAACTAAGGACAGCCTATCAAGCAAGAAGAAATAGCATTTAACTGACCTGCAGAAAAAGCCTCTAGTTTGTAGTGGGTGTGATAGCACCACTTTGCAGTTTCCTTTCAGTGGTGGATAGGCGACATCTCTTTTGAGAAGAATCAAAGCAAGAGTAAATGCAGCTCTGAGAGAAGGTAGAGTGGGAAGATGGCTGGAAGTCCTACTGAAACCAGACCCCTTGTCCCAAACCCCTGTGGTTTCAGTTAAAAGATTAGGGCTTAGAAAGGCTCCTGCAGTTGCTAATAATTATAACTGAGGGAAAGTTAAAACCCAATGGGGAGAGGCTTGATTTTGGAGGTCTGACAGAAGCAAGGGCTTTGCAAGGTCTGTCATTCCTAATCTAAAACCATACAGAGCAAAACTAACAGGGGGGTGGGTGTATTAATTGAAGGAACATGCAGCTTGTTGTATTCTAAATCCACTTGGTTTTCATAAGTGAACATCACTATGGAAAACACATCAAGAAATAGAGGTGCTGGGAAACAACCCCCACCTCTGATTAAATATAACAAAAAAACTAAGAATTGAGTTCTCACCTTTCTACTAAGCAGAGAACATAGAAGCCTGGCATCCCTTCTCTGGAGAAGATGAAGACATTTACACATGTCAGTAAGTGAAAATGTAAAATAATGCACTATCATCTTTTCATTCCTTCTCCATCTCTTGCTTTAGCAGTATTTAATCAAGCTTTATTTCAGCAGGCCTAAAACATGGAGTGAATGAGATCACTTTACCACCTTCATCCTGAATCAAATCAGAGCTGAATTTCCAGAGTAATTCAGAGATATGCACTGAATTTTCATTGAAGTGTTTTGGTTCCCAAGTTCTTTTGAAAGGTATGGAACAGAAATATTACTATGGTGCCAGCAGAAACGCTATAAGGGTTCAGCACTATTATTTAGAATGGCTGTTACCATTTTTTGCTCAAAGCATAGCACGTACTGTGGTATGCATACCTGCTCAGTGTAATATGGCACGCTGCAACACTTCCAACAGTCATATTTCTCCATATGTCAATTTAAACACGATTTGCCTGACATACAAGAAGAAAGCATCTTCTGAGTGTGATTATGGGCTTCGGGTTATGATATTTGTGCTAACAGTGTCTGAAAAAAGCAGCAGTTCCTTACCGCAGAAAACCTGATCTGCCAGGCATCCCAAAAGATGGAGGCCAGCTTGAAAAATCTCTCTGTAGGACCAGCCAAGGAAAGTCCTATTTTAGTCAAAACTCTGGCTCTTCAAGTGACCTTACCCAGTGCAAACATGCTGCAGGAGAGTGGCCGTGTTACCCAGTGTGCATAAATCTTTGACTTCTAAAGAGGAAGTTTAGCAAGTTATAGCATAGCGTTCATCAGCAGTGTTATACTTTTTTCATAGCTACCAAAACCCAATAACATAAAATTAAAAAGCTAGTTATGACCCAGGTGCAATGAGAAGCGTCATGGGAACACCTACAGACCCTGCCTGGTGCACTCAGACCCACGGATATGAACTCCTGGAACAGATTAGAACCTGGCACTACCGTAATAGCTGGGTATCTCATTTCTTTAGGATACCTCTGAAGGAGCAAAACGTGAAAAAACAAGCAATGGATGAGACAGGTAAGTAGCTAATCCAACAGGCAGGAGCCTCCTGCTTGTTAACTTACCTACCCTAGTCAGCCCTCTGACCATAGGAGAAAATACCCACCAAATCCATACTGGTGTAGCAGGGCAATAAGCAAATTAGAAATGCACAGACAGACTGAAAAACTTACATGTTGTTTTATCTTTATAAAAAGGAGCTTGGGGAGGAGGTGGGGACAATTAGGAACTGACGATGGCATACACTGCCTGCCGTTCCTCCCTCCAAACATATCACTTTGTTTCTTGTAATTCACTAGGTCCTCAGACACACCAAAAGCAGTTACTTGCTCTTTCTAAGGACTTTCAGAAAGCTGGCATTTACACTTTCAGCCCTGTGAGGAGGAAATAAACCTTTGAGGAAATCGTACCTTGCCTTACCACTTTTTAATGGTCTAATGATTTTTCTAAAACATCAACTTGAATTTTGCTCAAAATGTCATTACAAAACAGAATGAAAGTGTTTCTCCATGCTGACTACAGAATTCCTGAAACAATGTAATAATCATCTGAAGGGGGAGATTCTTATTTACTGTTCATGACAGTGTCGTGTTTCAGCATTCAACATTGGAAATGTACATTGATAAAACAGCATTCATTGCTTTTATAACAATTCCAGTTCAAAATCTTCTTTCTGGGACTCTAACTGATCCTCCAAATGAGCTTTATTAATCATTGACAGGAACCTGGCAAAAGCCTACCCCATACTTTGGCAACCTGTCAAAATGTTCAATTAGGTCAAATCAAGAAAGCCCTAGAAAGCAACTGCAGCATCACTTTTAAGCAAAAAAAAACAAACAAACCTCATTGTATCTCTGAAATAACTTCAACATTATAGGATGAAAAAACCCAAACCAAACCCTGTGATCACAATTTGGTTATACACCCGAAATACCAGCTCCATAGCAACATGCCAAATAGCCACTTATTGAACCACATTGATTAATGATACTTCCTCACAGATTTTATTTATCAGTGCCATAAATGTCACCAAGAGGTTTAACATAAGGAACAACAGCAGGCAGTTCCTTTATCTGCCAAGCAAACACTTGCTCTCCTTCAGCACTTCTCTATACATCCCATCTTCAGTGCTCTAATTTCACGCATATACAAAGTCTGCAACTTGTTATGAGCTTCATGTGTTCTGTATCTCACCTGCATGTTTGTGCATTAACAAATATGTTGACAGTGTGATAAAAGTAATTTTGGCAGCAAGAACAACAGCGACCTTTATCTAACTTCTCAAGAATTTTGATCTCTGCTTCTGCAGCACCACTGCACGTACAGCCATAGGTGCTGGTGGGCTGTTTGAGGTGTGTCTTGCTGCCAAGCCTAATCCCACCACCCACAGTTAAAGAGTTAATTAGGACTTGAAGAAAATGGAGGGAGGCAAACCAAACAAAAATAGCATTTTAATTAACTGTAAACAATAATTAAAACCCGGCGTTATGTTCAGCATCTGCACATTGCTGGATTTACTGCAGTGACTCTGAATCTAATGAGATCATCCAACTGAATCCCAGAGGACTGGCCAGATCTCAGATCCGAAGTACATCTATTATATCTCAAAAAATAACACTGTAAATGAACCATACTTCAAATACCCTGGCCAGGTAAAGGAGAATAAAATGTGCACACATCTAGTAAGTAGGTTTTGAGTTTTCAATTCCGGATGTAAACTTGTCCTGCAATTTCATAGTGCAGTGGTCCCTATTATACTTAGTTATTTGCTTGCTTATTATGTTATTTATATAGTTATTTACAGTTCTCTTTTTTCTTAACCTTTTCTTATTAACCTGTGATTATACTAACGAAGTTAGGAAGATGATGTTATACAGCATTCTTTTGCCAAAGTCACATAAGTTATTTCCAGTATTTTCCACTCCAGTCCTCTCTTAATCACAATATTGAGACACAGAAACCCTCTAAGTTTCTCCCTGTCTTAGTTACTCAGCTTTCTCTGCCATCTGATCTTCAGCTGTCTAGTTTACAAACTGGCTCTCATCAGTTCATCTCCGCACAAAGATTTACATTCCCTCAACTCGTGCTTGAAATAGTCACCTGTCATTCAGAAGTCAAACCTCTTAATAAAAATCTCCTTACCTTCACCAGGAGGAGAGGTAAACTTCCTGAAGTTTTACTTTACCATGAGCTTGATCAAGGGTAACCACCAGGACCTAGCCATACAGAAGAAAGTCAGGGGTTTCTCTTGTGCCCATCTCTAGAAACCTAAAGAAAAAACATCTGTCTGAAGTATCCACGTGGATTTTGCTTTCTATCATTTTCCAAAAATGGCTAGATCAAACCTCTTCATTACAGCTGAAACTTTAATCTGCATATGAAAGGTAACCTAACTCATAATACCATTTATATAATGCATTCAAATATTACAGACCCAAACATCTCATTTGAGATGTGCAGACAAGTGTAATGATTCAGCTAATATGTTGAAAGCTTTGTCTGGATCCTTTTCTAACCCTAACCCTAACCCTCCCATTACTTGTTTACTAATCCATAAACATAAACATCAGGAAATGTTTGGAAGATCCTGCATATCTCCACCTCTCTTTTGGCTAGAGTTTCATAGGTTCCTCAGGTTTCATGTGCTCAGAGGTTTCCTGTATTCTCCCTTACGTTTTGCTCAACTATAGGCACAGAAGATCTACAGGTTAGGTGTAATACTATTAATGTTTTCACTTCCACAGCACATTTTTTAAATTGCAAATTTAAGAACTGTAGAGGAAGTATTAAGAACTTCATAAAAGTCTAAAAACAGACTGTTATGTATTCAGGAAGCTTAGGCCAGACCCAAATGTAAGCTCTATGTCAGAATATATTCTAATCTAAGGATATCTTTGTTAAAATGACTGCATTATTTATGACTGATTGCAAATTGCTTTGTTGTCTTGGAAAGGTCAGGAAGTTTACTCTGTTTTTCCTCTCTTTTTACTTATGTCATGCCTTTAACTGTCTGTACTCTCGTAACTGTACCACTTTGCTACTTTTGTCTTTGTACAAAAGCTTTCCTTGCATTTTCCTTATTATTATTTTCTTTTTCCCTGTTATGGTGGCAACCACCTCATTCAAAGTGTTACATTTCCCCTGGGTGGATGAAGAAGGTAGTACCTGCCCTCCTTTCTTTACAAGAAATGCTGCTTTGCTATTGCCTATAAGGCCCCGCTTCGTACAGGAGAGCTATATGCTGCTCCCATGTCTGAGAGACATTCTGTAACAGACCATACCTCACAGTTGTGTACATGCACAAGAGCTGCTGAAACTCATCCCTTATCACAGTTACCCTTCTACTTAGTGATACTTTCCAGGAAACCACCTCACAACTCTCTGCCTTTCTTCCACATGTATATATAATCTGTATTTCCTGTAGGTATCCTTGGTTTGCAGTGCCCCTTAAGGGAGTTCCCATTTTTCCTCAACTTTCTTGACCTTCCCTCTGACATCCCCCAGCTGGGCAGATACATCATTCTGTATCAGCCCTCTTCCTGCTTAGTTCTTTTCCCTTTCCTGGAAATGCAGCTCTTAACACACTGCAGAATTTCTCAGGTTCCTCCTTCATTTGCCTTCATGAAACAGTAAGATCTTGGGTTCCAGTTTTATCTGTCATCCACATAACAAAACTAGCCCACAGCTCCCTAGGACAGCAGTGTTGCATCCCTTCCACATTAAAGTCTCCAGGAATGTCTGTAGCAGTCCAGCTACCTATGTATGCTGTTTCTAGGTCTCTTTTCCTAATCCTTTTCCACAATTTTTCTACAAGCTACCTCTCTTTTTGTGCCTTATTCAGGGTGATCTCCAGATTGAAACTGTGTGATGTCTATAAATGTAATTCATCTCCTTTGTTTCAGCTGCTTTCTGAGTAACACTAACCTGTGCCTTGTTTGACTGTCTTAAGCCAATCAACTAACTTCAAAATTACCTTCTCAAAGTGTTGTGACCTGAAGCACTCCAACTTCTTTTTAGTAAGAGGTTTCTATCATTATCAAAGACATTTATTTAGATTTCTCTTTTTTCACCGCAGCTTTTTTTTCCTCAAAACTTTCCAATTTCAGCTTTTTCCAGGGAAACAAAGAACTGTTGTATCAGCAGGTTTCCTTCCTTTCCTTTTTCCTTTCCTCTTTCTCTTCCCTTCCTTTTTCCTTTCCTTTTTCCTCCCCTCCCTCCCTCATTTTTTTAAGAGGTCCTTTTTAAATCTGAGACAATGTCTTTCTTCATTTCCCTAATAAATCCTAACAAGCATTTCCCAAGCTTTTTCTACCTAACAATGCTGCCTTCTCATTTATCCTGTTCAAGTTTTACCTGAACTGCTCAGTACTAGAAGCTAACCGTAGTTAACTTTATTAGAAGCTGTATATTTTCATTTTATGTTTACTGGTGCAATGACAAAGACCAAGACATAAAACTTATGCAGCCCAGCATGCTGTTGTGCTTCAAACTCTTAACCAGTCTTACTCCGTTTGGAAATCTTGCTTGTATAGATAGAGTCTAACAAGTTTTTTAATGAGCACAGTATCTTTCTGCTTTTCTTTGCCTCTGGCTTAGCGCCTCGGCCCCCTGCCGTATTTTCTTTCAGGTACAGTTTTAGGGGGAAAAGGAATGTAATGTGAAAGCACTGTGAGTTGACTATCCTGTAGATATGCTCTGCTTTCATTTCATCGAGGCTCTTTCTGCTTTTGACTGCCTCCTGATTGCTCCAGGGCACAACTAAGCCACACTGCACGACCTCGTAGAGCGTCCTGCAGTGACTACAGTGCTCACCCCACAGCGCATGGCAAGCAACAGACCCGGGAAAGCCCCAGTTTCCTCCCCAGAACACTTTCTGGTCATGCCGTTTGAGCACAAATTGCAGATGTTTCTGCCCTTATCTCCTGGTGCTTTACTGTCTAATAATAATAAATTAATCTCAGCTCTTTATATTGCCTTTGCAGGCAAGAGTGGATCCTGCCTTCCCTGCAGCTGATGATGTTTTGCTGCTCATTTGGCGAGAGGAAGCTCTGCCCCTAATGGAGGAACACTGTGCTATGAGAGAGCCAGGACAGCGCTCTCTTCTCTTCAGTTCTGCCACTTGTTGCCGCAGGACTTAGATCCTAAATTACTCCAGATTCCTGAGTCTTGCGTTTTCCATAAAACGTGTATTCCCTGTGAGTTTGTTTACATCTCTCCCGCCGAAGCATCCCACAGAACACGCTATGCAACTGTGTGTTTTTTTCCATGAGGTATTAAGTTCACTTGACTAGCAGGCCAGTAGCACCTACCTATTTAAAAAATACTGGTTAATCATCCTTCATAGCCCCAAGTACGATTAACAAACAGCGACGCTGCATTCACAGAGATCCTTACACCTTGTCCCAGTTTGTCTGCTGGCCACAGTACTATGTGGAACGATAGCCGTGCGCGGACCTTGCCATCTGGGACCCGAACTCCCTAGCGTTTCCCAGGCATCTCCCCTGCTCCCAACCTCAACTGAGCTCAGCGCTCCCACACGCACCGCGCAGGGAAAGCGGCCCGCAGCGCCCTGGGGAGCAGCCCTTCCCGGGGGTGGGTGGGGAAAGAGGTGAAGTCTGCCGGAGCAGTAAACACGACGTAGCCCTTCCTGGAGGCTATTTTCTTCCCGTGTAACAAGTACAATCTATCTGGTAACCCGGAGGACAGCCAAGAGTTGAGGCTCCCCTGGCCGCTCCAGCCCAGTCCTCGCACAATCAGTGCGGGGAGCCGCAGGCTGAAACGCAGGTCAGGCGCGGCTGGGAAGCGGCGGGGGCAGCCGCAGCGCTCTCCGGGCGGGCAGCGCACCGAGTCCTCACCGAGTCCTCCCCGACTCCGCGGCAGCCGGGCCCCGGGCTGCGGTGAGGGGCCAGCGGCGCCGCTCCCGCCCGGCCGGCTCCATCCCCCGTCGCTGCGCAGCCGCCCAGCCGAGCGGCCCCGGCCCGCGCCCGGAACCCCCGCTCGGGCTTCCCGCCCCACCCGGCGGCGCGGGGGGCTTCCCCCCGCCACCGAGGGAGCGGGGAGGGACGCGGGAGTCTCACCTGCCACCGGCGAGCGCCGAGCGGGAAGCGCCAGCGGCGGCTGCGGCGCTTCCTGCGGCGGGAGGCGGGCGCTGTCCCCGGTTGACCCCGGGGGGGGCGGTGGCGGCGGGACGCGGGTCCGGGGGGACGGGCCGGGAGGGCGGCCGCCTCTCCGCCGGGGAGGGAGGGAGGGGGACGGCAGCGGGGCGTGCGCGGGGAGCGGCGGGGCCGGGTGGCGCCGAGCGGTGACCGCTCCGGCACTGCGCGCTGTCATGGCAGCGCGGCCCCGCGGCGTCACACGGCTCCCGGCGGCGGCACAGCCCGGTCCAGCCCGAGGGAATCCCCGCTGACCGCCGCTCGCCCCTTGGCGCGGAGACCCCTCCTCCGCGCAGCTGCCCTGCGGGGTGCAGTGCGGGGGGACACACCCGAAACGCAACGAGACAGAGGTCAAGACTTCTACACTCGAACCGGTCTCGGGGCCTCGGCGCTTCGGCCGGTCTGGCCGGGGACGGTAGCCACAGTGTCCCCGTCTCTCTGTGGGTGTGCAATTTGCGAGCCCAAATTGTTCGCAAACTAATTGTGTCAAATGAGAGCTGGAGTGATGCAGGAAGTTCTGTGGTTATGGAGGAAATGCTAAAGCAGCACTCGAGGCTGCTTCTGCTCCAAGTCCCGCTCTGCGGCATTGGCTGAGCAGGGCAGAGCGGTTGTGTAAGATGGGCTGGCTCCGCTCCTGCTCAGGCTCACTGGAGGTGGTTTTGCAAACAGCTAGTGGAGACTGAGCACCGTGTTTCATCCAGATTGCCAAGAAGTTTGTCCGTAGTTTGTGTGTTTTTTAACTTCGCACCTCTGTTCATCAGTGACTGGGTGTGGAGGCTGATCTGTGGAGCAGCCAAAATATATCCCTGTTTAGCTTACAGGTTTGCGTTCTTCTGTTTTCAACTTCTTTACCATTATTTTTTTTACATGTTACAAGAGGTAAAAGGAAAGAAAAAGACACAAAGACAAAGCATAGTTTAGCTATCACGGTGCTGCCTGCATTAGAAATGTACAAATAAGATAAGCACCTACATGACTCCTACTAAGGGATGCATTTAGTTTGACTAGACAGCCTCATAATACCACAGCTGAAGCAGAAGTGCAGCACAAAGGCAGTAAAAGGATTAAAGCTCCATCCCAGTTAGCATTTAGATTTCTTGAACACTGTTTTTCTGTAACATGATTCTGCTCTGAAAATGTAATCTTGGCGCTTTCTGCATCATGGGCTCAGTTTACATGTAAAAGATGTTGCCGCTGAATTACAGTCCTGCAAAGCCGACTGAGATCTTCAGATAATGAATAATTATTTACATACAGTGCACTGAAATTGATTGAAAGTAATTTCTCCCATGCACAGCATTATACCTTCAAGTCTTCACTGAAATTGCACAAAAAAGTACAACTCTTCATAATCCAGTTTAAACATGCTATGCATAATATATTTAAATCAGTTTAGTTACGTAGCTCAACAAATGAAGCAAAACTCAACAAACATGAATTGGCCTGACCAGAAGATAGTGCAGGCAGGCAAACAAGCTTCTTTCTTGAGATCATGTAATACTTTGGCCCTGACTCCTCATAACACATTACAGAGGGTCTCCCATAATCATGCTTGTAGATCCGTCAAATTAGGAAGTCACTTTAGTAAGCAGTTGCCTAGAAAAGTTTCAGTGTATTCTGGAAACACTAGGGAGGACCATTCTTACTCTATGCGAAAAGAGTACATGCTTTAAAATAGCTTGGGGTAATAAACTGATTTACATTGACTCAATTTTACACAAACGTACAGTTTTTCAGCTGACACAAATCATAGAATCACAGAATGGTTTGGGTTGGAAGGGACTTTAAAGCTCATCCAGCTCCAACCCTCCTGCCACAGGCAAGGACACCTTCCACTAGACCAGGTTGCTCAAAGTCCCATCCAGCCTGGCCTTGAACACTGCCAGGGATGGGGCAGCCACAACTGGGAAACCCAGTTTCCCAGAACTGGGAAACCTGTTCCATTGCCTCACCACCCTCATAATAAAGAACTTCTTCCTTGTATCTAATCTAAATCTACCCTCATACATAAGATGTGATTGAACCCCCTTTGCCCCTTAAGTCCAGTTGCTCTGTATCAAAGTAGAAGGTCTGTAGACAAGCATTACAGTAAGACAGCAGAAGATCTGATGAGGCTCACTGTTACATGACAAAAGGTGAGGGGGGTGATGATGATATAACAAAAAAAAGATGACAAAGGAGCTAGGTGAAGGCAAGTAACGACACAGACTTCAGCTTAATGTAGCAGGGCCAGGAAAGTCAGTTGAACGCTCAATAGGGGTGAAGTAACCAGGAGCACAAGGAAGTATGGTGACCATCCAGAAACAGGAGTGTCAAGACCTTTCTTGAGGTACATTTTAAGGTGGTTTTTTTTTTTCCATGGAATCTTCATAGTTCCATCCAGCACCAAAATAATGTATCTGATCTTCACAGGATTTTACTATTGACAGTTATATTTTTTGTGATAGGAAGACATAACCGGCTGGAACTGGGAAGAGCTGGGATGTATGTTAAAGTAGACAGTGTGATGAAAAAGGTGAAATGTCTGGAGAAGGGTCTGAAGCTTTGCTTCGTTACAGTCACACTACTTTCTGTAATGATGATTTCTTTGTAAGTGTGGAAAATAAATTACCAGAATAGCATTTCTGCATGCTCTTACAAAAAAGGACATATCTTCTCCCACAGACTTTGCTCTTAAAATCTCAAGTGGAGTTAATCTGCTTGGAAACTCCCAGCCAGACAGTGCAACCTCATGAAGCAGCTGCTTGATGCACACAGCCTTTATTTGAGTGAACACAGTGTTTTTACTTGTGTGCTGCAGCGCCTATTTTGCTGTGTTCTAGAAACTCAAAGGAACTCACTCACAAATGCCCTCAATTTTTAGGACTTGCATACCGTAAAAGTCCCTCTAAAAGACGGACACCCATTTTCTGAAATGTTAGTTGTTCCTCCGTTTGGAAACAGCCATCCAGAGCTTCACCCTGCTCCCGCTCCTTCTGTTCCTGCTGCTGTTGCAGCTGCTCCAGGGGCTGCGGGCGCCGCATCGTCGGGGCGGGAGCTGTCCGTGGTCGCGTCCCGCCGGCGGAAGCTCCCCGCCGCGGCCGCTGAGCTCTTGGAGCAGCGAGCCGGCTTTGCCATCCTCATGGCCGGGAGTCCCTCAGGCATTGCCCTTCACAATGATCAGCGGACGGTGGCCTTTTAGTTCCCCCTTTTTGCATATAAATCTCCTGAATATACTTCTACCGGTCAGATTCTTCATTTTATTACTAACACATATCCCAGACACAGATATCTTTTCTTTTCTTTTTTTTTTTTTTAATATAAAGTACTGTTAAATTGTGGAAAAATTGTTAGAAGTTCACTTATTTTACAAAATAGTGTCTTTCTAAATTAAACTTTTTCTGAGTGTTTTATCAGCCTTCTTAGATGACTGCCTATACTTTTGGTAGATTTCCAGCTTTCCCATCCATCTGTTAGGTTGAAAATAACATGAATTGAATATTCAGTTTGTTCTTTATGTTGTAGATTTTCAAAGATTGAATCTTATTTAAGCAGATAAATGCAGTTGCTGCCGTGCTAATTTGTGACATTATTCCCTTCTAGACATCCCCCCTGGCTTGCGTATTACTGCCAAGGTATTGAGATTGACTCATCTCTTGTACTCATTTGCCTTCTAAAGCAATGTTTGAATTTTAGGTTTCTTGCTGGAATTATTTTTCACATATTATTGCTAACCCTGCATTTACCATCAGGATCAGTAGTAGCTTAGTTCACCTTTTCGGTCTTGTGTGTCTGAGTGGACGCTGAGGACCTAAGTCACTAGGAAAATAAAATTTGAGCATATTGCTATTGATTCATTTAATGTCTACCAGTCTGTCTGTCTAAACTTTTCTCATAATGAATCAGCAGCAACCTCAAAACATTTAATGATTTACACTGGCATTTGTTGTTGATGGGTCTTCATATTAAAAACTTTGGCATCTCCCTATTCAATGAATCCTTGTTCAATGTCAGTCATCAAGCAGAATATTTAACCTTATTTCATTCATGCTTTATCTGCACATGCTGCACCTGGATATAAAGCTGTGTTAGTATTAATTACTTTCCTTAACATAGCACATTGATTGAAGGTACAACAAAATAAATCAGGGTAGAGACTGTCTAACGCTTCCATGAAATGTGTGTGGTTTATGTCAATATTTTTTGCTGTTCAGTCGTCCTCTGACAATTGTTTTTAGATTATGTCGATTCAGTTTGAGTAGGAAGTTTGAGTAGGAACTGCTTAGTAGAAAAATTATGCAGAAAAAAATTAAGAAAGAGAAAAGCTCTCAACTGTGCAGCAGTTCGCACCCAGTCAAGGAAATGATTGGACAGCTCCTGCTCCTCACAGGGCTCCCCACTCCGCTTGCACATGGCTCTTCCTTTCTGCCAGCTGCAGAGCTCTGATGTGACCATTCCTGCTGTCTCCAGTCTGCTGACTCTCCCGCTCACCTTTCTACTTAACTGTCTCTCTTCATGTGATCACTAGATGAAATCTGCAAGAAGTGGTATTAGAAGAATAACGAAGCCCCTTAAGTCATCTTCTCTGTGCACCTATAGGAAAGCATGGCTGGTCTTGTTTCAAAATATGGATTTCAGAGAGCAAACTAATGTGGACTTGTGATGTTTCTAGTAGGAACATACAAAGCAATTCCATCACTTCTTTCTGATCCAAAGTGCACTGAGTCTTTTGTTACTATTCTGTTAAGGGGGTTCATTGTTTTAAAATCAATACTAGACATGCAGTGATTGAAATGGCAATGTTCTGAGTGCCCATATGGCAGACTTCCACATACTGTCTTATTTTAAGCAAAGTATATATATATATATTTCTCCTTATAACTCCCTGCAGGAACAGTAAGGAGGAAAGCCTTACAGCAGAAATTAATTCTAAGGTCCACAGTTCTGCTAGTGGATAAGAAACCCACTTCACTTAAGGCATTGTTTTTT